AGGTGTGTCAGAGCTGTTCTGTTCTTCTAGTTGATCTTTAGTTCCTTCATTGAAGGTCTTTCCTGCAGGTGTGTCAGAGGTGTATTGTTTTTCTATTTGATCTTTTGGTCCTTCATTGAAGGTCTTTCCTGCAGTTGTGTCAGAGCTGTTTTGTTCTTCTAGTTGATCTTTAGCTCCTTCATTGAAGGTCTTTCCTGCTGTTGTGTCAGAGCTGTTCTGTTCTTCTAGTTGATCTTTATTTCCATTCTCAGCTTTTGTATGCTTTCCCCATCTGTAATTTAGTACAGCTCTGGTTTGTTCATCCAATTTGCGTCTCATCTCCTCCAGTTTCTGGACCTTCTCTGTGTCTCCTCTGTCCTTCATCTTCTCAATCAGCAAGTCCAAGTGGACAATAGTGGATGTTGATTCAGCTTTCAGAGCGATCTCTGTCAGTCTGACAACATGTTGGTAGGACTCATCCAAGAACTGTGACTTCTCTTCTTTCAGGTCGTTCATTTCCTTTTCAAGAGTTTCCAAAAGACTCAACTTTTTCTGTCCTTCAGTTTTATTTTCGTCATATTTCTCTTTCATTGATTTTTTAGTCTTATTAACCTTCCTTGTTTTGATCACATATCTCCACTTTTCTTTGACATGAACTGATACAGGACACCTTTTGGTGCAGACAATGCAGTGGCCCTTTGTAATGACCTCACAGTGTTCAGGATACCAGGCCATCGTGCATCCAGGATAGTGACAGGTCTCCTCACAGACTTTACAACAGAGAGCTCCCGAGTAAAAAGCAAGCCCCCACATCCCACCACTGATCATTTCTTTGTCTTTATATGGCTCGTCAACTTCTACAGTGAACTTCTCATTTTACGTCATCTCTTCTTCATGTTTTTTCAGAGCTTCTTGAATCTGTTTGATTTCTGTCTGCTTCTTTTCAGTCAGTTTTATTTTCTCTTGCAGATTTTTGATGCAGGCTGTCAGTTTGATTTGATTATCCAGGACCTCTGAAGACATTAGTAGCTTTCGAGGTTCCACTTTTTCCAGAAAGTCAGTGAACTTTTCAATGTTTGTCATTGATAATTTTCCAGCACATTGCAGGTATTCGTCTTCCTCTGTTCGGTCTTCAGTCTGTTTGTTATTAAACAGGAAATAAACAGGCTCATTATTCTCATTTCTGGCACATTTAATTTTTGCTTCTTCAATAGCCTTTAGAGGATTTTTTGGTTTTCCTCCATCTGAGTGTGTGATGAGAGATACGATGTTTTTCTCCAAGTCCTTCCCAAACAGAGACATCACTGAATCAAGCACATAAATTGGTTGATAATTCATTCGATTATCTGTCGCCTTCAACACCAGACCCACTGCATGAACTTCATGAACTCCATCCTCTGATTGAAAAAACTTTAATAACTTTTGATTGGTGATGGCATCATGTTCGATCCCTCTGGTGTTTCCATATCCAGGAGTATCGATGATGGTCACGGAGTAGGGCAAAGTTTTATCTTCAAAATCAAAGATCTCGTACACGATCACATCTGATGTCTGACTTTCTGTCAGACTTTTCTCCCTCTCTACCATCTGAAACCAGATCTTCTCCTCCCACTTTACTCCCATGCTGTAGTTAAATAGAGCATTGATCAGAGTAGATTTTCCTGCTCCTGTTTCACCCACAAGTAAGATGATTTTATTTGTCTTGTCTGGATTTTTTTCTCCAAAAGTTATTCTTGTATTCGGTTTTCCAAAATTCCATTTTGTTCTCAGTTGGTACACAGCAGGAGTCCCTGAAGAAATCAGGTCGGAGTTGGAGATGATTTTCTTATATTTAGATGAGCTGTTAGAGTTCCTGTAAAAAATAGTTTATATTTTCTCAATCCATATATTGCAATCACATGAAATGAAATCACATGTAAGTAAACCTATAAAAACTAATACGATTTTCAATCAAAACATTTTGATGAGCATTGTTCATTGATTTTTGTGACAATGTTTTTATTGTGCTTTCATAGAAACTGAATACTGTTTTGATATTTTCTTATTTATACATATTTTTGAATCAAAATAAAACTGGTCCTCCTTGTCTGTCATTAATTTGTCTGTATGTACCTTTTTTCACTTCCTGTTATTTTATTTTTTTGGGTACTTATTTGTCTTTTTGTCTCTTTATGTTTAATTCAGATATGTAAACCTTACATTACAATCATGAATAAATACAGAAAAGAATATAGCTCATATGGTTTTCACTGTTGTCTTTTTTTTTCTTTTTGCCCTTTATCAATGTTCCTCCTCCCCCCTACTTTCTTTCTCCCTTTTCTTTTCCCCAGTCAACTCTGTCCCGTGTTTAGCAAGTGAAAATAAAATAAAATAAACAATGAAAACAAAGGTGGATCAAATAGACCAATACGGCAAGGCTTGGATGGTCCATTTGGTAAAGTAAATCTGTTGAGAATCTTTCTTTGCCTTGAGACAATAATTCTGATGGCACAAGAACCAAATGGGACAGGCAAAAAAAAAAAAAAAAAAAATCATGGATAAGTTATCAAATGGTAAATGGCCTGTATTTATACAGCACTTTACTAGTCCCTAAGGACCCCAAAGCGCTTTACATATCCAGTCATCCACCCATTCACACACTGGTGATGGCAGCTACATTGTAGCCACAGCCACCCTGGGGAGCACTGTCAGAGGCGAGGCTGCTGGACACTGGCGCCACCAGGCCCTCTGACCACCACCAGTAGGGAACGGGTGAAGTGTCTTGCCCAAGGACACAACGACCAAGACTTTCCAAGCTGGGGCTCGAACCGGCAACCTTCCAATTACAAGGCGAACGCCCAACTCTTGAGCCACGATCACCCAGGGTTTTGTTCATTAATAATTGTCATTTAAAAAAGTTTAAATACTTCTTCATAAGGTTACACAAGTAGCCAAATTTAAAACTCAACTGTTATTTTTATATCCAACAAATAACAAGCGAAACTGAAGATTTTGAAAATACAATACAATACAATACAACTTTATTTATATAGCACAATTAAAAACCTATGGTATACCAAAGTGCTTAACAATAAAACAGCAGGTTAAAACATGAATAATATAAGACCATTAACAAAGTACTGAATATGCTAACAGGTCAATGGCACTAATTACACAAGAATAAAAGTGAATTTAAAATAAAACTTGCTAAAAACAAACAGGTTTTGAGTGGAAGAAGGTATATAGAAAGATAAAATTGGAATTGAGCATAAAATACAGGTGTTAACTAACCGGGAAAGAAAGATTAAATAAGTGAGTTTTTAACCGTGATTTAAATGATTGGATGGAGTCAGACGCGTGAATAGCAATGGGAATGTTGTTCCGCAGGTTAGGTGCAACCAGGGCAAATGCTGTACCAAGAGAAACTGGTCGGATGATCTGAGGGCTCTCCTAGGAGTGCATGGTCTAAGAAGTTCAGCGAGATAGCTAGGTGCTGTATTATTTATAATTTTGAAGGTAAGCAGCAATATTTTAAATTCGATGCGGTATTTGATGGGGACCCAGTGCAAATCAGCAAGGACAGGGGTGATAGAGGCAAACCTTCCGGTTCAAGTCAAAAGGCGTGCTGCAGCATTTTGGACAAGCTGTAATCTATGGACAAGAGCAGCATGGAGACCAAAGTAAAGGGAATTACAATAATGTAATCTAGAGGTCACAAAGGCATGAATAAACTTTTCAAGATCCTTATGTGATATGTAATGCTTAGCCTTTGAAATAACACGCAATTTGTAGAAGCTAGATTTGACTACAGACGACACTTGTTTGTAAAATTTTAAAGAGCTGTCCAGCAGCACACCTAGATTACAAACAGTGTCAGACAGTGGCAAGGGATCCAAAGGTATCAACTAGCGCCGGGGGAAATGACTGTCAAACACCACAATTTCGGTTTTCTTTTCATTTAAGATAAGAGAGTTTCCCAAAAGCCATTATTTGACTTCTATCATGGACTCTAGGAAAATGCCTACACCACCAATTAAAACACAAAGCAAATGCAAATCAATTGCTTAAACCAGTCACATGCTTGCTGGAGCCAATCATCGCCATTCCCTGGAGTTGGAGTTGGAGAACTACTCTAGACAAGAAACACTATGATATTTTATTTATTTATTTATTTAGTTAGTTAGTTAGTTAGTTAGTTAGTTAGTTAGTTAGTTAGTTAGTTATTTATTTGCCTGTCCCGTTTAGTTATTTTGCCATCAGAATTATTGTCTGATGGCAAAAACTATTATTTTATTTTATTTTCAGTTGTTACAGATTGGACAGAGGGATAGGAAAAGGAGAAAGAAAGAGAGGGAGGGAAAGAAAAACAGTGGGGAAGGGACACTGACAGTGAGAAAGGACACTAAAAAGATAGAACACAACAGAAGAGAAAACAAGCAAAAAAGAGGGCAACATAATAAACACAGTACCATTCTGATAATCTAGCTAACAGTATAACAGTCAATAACAGTCAATACTAAGTATTGAATGTTGTTGTACAGAACAAAACACCAGTTTATGTCTGTGAACAGTGCACACTTGTGTGGATCAGCCCGCTTGTATTCAAAAGGTTTCTCCATGTAATGATCTGCTAGGGGGTGTGGGTAGCCATAGCCCTGTCCCCCAGGGCATAAAGCAGGCTTCGAGCCATATATACAAATACTCAGCACTCACCCAACATAAAGACAGACACAAATGGACATTGTACACACAATTACACTCCCCAAACATACTCTATACTCCAGGTCCAGGTCTAAAGTACATTTAAAACACGGGAGGGCATGGTGCTGCTGCCAGAGAGCAGTAGGTGTCAGCACAGCCCCTCCCAAGAGCCCTCAATGTCCCCAGCATTTAAAATTGAGGAGTGGGCAACGACCCCAGAGGTGAGGTTGAAAACACAGACCATCCTCTTGACAACGTGTAACGTGCTCACCCCCAAGGTCCTAGATGTACAGGGAGTGCAGAATTATTAGGCAAGTTGTATTTTTGAGGAATAATTTTATTATTGAGCAACAACCATGTTCTCAGTGAACCCAAAAAACTCATTAATATCAAAGCTGAATGTGTTTGGAAGTAGTTTTTAGTTTGTTTTTAGTTTTAGCTATTTTAGGGGGATATCTGTGTGTGCAGGTGACTATTACTGTGCATAATTATTAAGCAACTTAACAAAAAACAAATATATACCCATTTCAATTATTTATTTTTACCAGTTACCTTTGCAAGGACACTCAAAAGCCTGCCATCCATGGATTCTGTCAGTGTTTTGATCTGTTCACCATCAACATTGCGTGCAGCAGCAACCACAGCCTCCCAGACACTGTTCAGAGAGGTGTACTGGTTTCCCTCCGTGTAAATCTCACATTTGATGATGATGATTATGATTATTGTACAGTCGAGTCTTAATAGCATACTTACAACTGGGCTCGTCAGGCACTCTTCTTGGCTGCAGTGGTTATTATTTTATTTACATGCTTCCAGCTCCCGTTTCTGCTCGATGACAGCTCGTACTTTTCCACTCTCATTCCCTCCTCGCGCTCACAGACACATAACGTGTATGGCAGTCCATTCTCCCTGCAGCCCGGACTACACTGCCCATGAGGCTACATTCTTTAGAGCTATGCCTGTAGCATTCTGCCTATTAGCTTAGCACAACAACAACAACAACAAAAAGGCGCTCTCTCACCCAGGAAACACACAGTCGCAGAGAGAGAGCGTCGCCCTGTAACCATGGCAATCGTAACGCTGCCGCCTGGAACAACAGAACGTAGCTGTCAAACAAAACCCAAACAGTCCTGACCCGCAACAACATAAAACAGGAAAGTACCGCCGTCTAATCCATTTATTTCAACAAAGTAACTGTATTCTAAATACCACCTTTTTAAACGGTAACTGTAATGGAATACAGTTACTCATATTTTGTATTTTAAATACGTAACGGCGGTACATGTATTCCGTTACTCCCCAACACTGCTTACACTGTCCACAATAAAAGGCCACTCTGAAATGTGCAGTTTGATCAAACAGCACAATGCTACAGATGTTGCAACCTTTGAGGGAGCATGCAATTGGCATGCTGACTGCAGGAATGTCTACCTAAACTGTTGCCTGTGAAATCAATGTCCATTTCTCTGCCATTAGCCATCTCCAAAGGGGTTTCGGAGAATGTGGCAGTACATCCAACCGGTCTCACAACCGCAGACCACGTGTAACCACACCAGCCCAGGACCTCCACATCCAGCATGTTCACGTCCAGGATGGTCAACCAGGTGGAGACCAGCCACCCGGACACCAATCAGTTTGCATAACCAAAGAATTTCTGCCAAAACTGTCAGAAAAACTCTCAGGGAACCTTATCTGCATGCTCGTGGTCCTCATCGGGGTCTGGATCTGAGTGCAGTTTGTCTCTTTAACCAACTTGAAAGGGCAAATACTGACATTTGATGGCGTCTGGTACGTTGGAGAGGTGTTCTGTTGACAGATGTTTTTACTTTTCAGGGCACGTGGCAGACAGTTTGTGTTGTGTTGTGTGGATGAGCGGTTTCCTGACGTAAACGTTGTGGATTGATTGACCCATGGTGGCGGTGGAGTTGTGGACAATAAACACTATTGCATTTTATTGTCGGTATTTTGAATGCACGGAGATACGGTGTGAAGATCCTGAGGACCATTGTAGTGCCTTTTAACAATGACCATAACCTCGTGTTATAGCATGATAATGCATGGCCCCATATTGCAAGGATCTGTACATAATTCCTGGCAGCTGTAAACATCCCAGTTCTTGCATGGCCAGCATACTCACTGAACATGTCACCCATTGAGCCTGTTTGGGATGCTCTGGA